AAGGGACCTTAAAAGTCATCTCGTTTCAAACCCCCTGCCATGGGCAGGGACACCTTCCACTAGCCCAGGTTGCTCCAAGCCCCATCCAGCCTGGCCTTGGACACTTCCAGGGATCCAGGGGCAGCTTCTCTGGGCAACCTGTGCCAGGGCCTCACTGAATCCACCCAGGTCACCTTTTCAGACATTCCTCTGGCTAAAAGCATGGATTTGGTTTGTGTTTTGGGAATGTGGCCCCCTCAGTGAGGAGCTCTTGGAGAACACGAACTTGTGCCCGTGGCAGGTCCTGGTGCAGGAATCACCAGGCATTATCCACGATGCACCAACCCCGAGATTTCCTTAGGCCTGGATCGTTTCTGAATTGGAGTTATTTATTTTAAAGTAGCCAAACTCCAGTTTGGGAGTTCCCTTAGGAAATCCCTGTAGCCATATACATTCCCTGCTCCCAGCTGCTTGGAGAAGCTGGCTTTACTTTAACACATATTAAAGGAAAAGGGTTTTTTGCCTTCCCAGTAGATTAAGTTTGGCCAAACAATTCAGTGTGAACTGCTGGGCATGAGGCACAAACCTGTAGGCTAAATTATCCAGCTGCTACAAGTTTAGACCAGCATGGGATGAATTTCAGGATCCTATATTACTTTCCATTTAATCTGATTATTCTGGGCTGGAGTTCCTGGAGGGTCTTCAGGTTATTGTCAGTCAAAAGAATCTTTAAAAGCTTCCATTTGCACTCAACTTTTCCCATTCAAAGTCTATTTTCATTATGGATGAATTTTAATGAAAAAAATGATTCTCCCAACTCCCTGCTTTTTTCCTTTTCCCCCCCAGTTGGGGTTAAAATTGAAGCCACAATGGGGTCTTGCCACTCAAAATCCCATTTTCCTGCTTTGCTGAGAGTGTTGGCTTGGTTGGAGGAGCTTGGGCAGACAGTGAGGGGCAGATAATTCGGGAAGGCACCTCCTGCACTCCAGCGATGCTGCCTGGTACCCAACCCATCCCTCACTGGGAAAACCCTGAAGTGCCTTGAATCCTGGGGGGATTCCTGGCTCCAAAGCCTTGGAGGCTGATGCAGGACTAATTATCTTTAGAGCCCATTGCTGTTGTGTCACTTCACAGGCTGGTTTCTGTGTGTTGCCTCCTCTCAGCTTCCAGCCCTGGGAGCACCACAGGGGGGTCCTGGTGGGAGCAGCCCCCCCCTGGGGCTGGGAAGGCTGTGAATCCTGGTGGGAGCAGCCCCCCCCGGGGCTGGGAAGGCTGTGAATCCCATATTCTGTGCTGGGGGGACACCCTGCTCAGGTCTGGCTGGTGCAGGAGTGGCAGCTTGGTGGGACAGGGTGGCTTTGGGCTTCCTGGTGCTGAGCTGAAGGCACCTCCCTGGGGTGTGCACCCTGCCTCACCCCAGGGACATGGAGGGGAAAAAAATAGAGAAATGTCTAGAAATAATCCCCATATTCTTTATTTATGCAGGATTTTCCACAGGATGTGCCGACCTGTGCCCAGGTGCCATCAGTGCTGCTCTGGTGAGTGATCCCACCGAGAGTCAGGGGAGGGTCAGAGTGGAAAACAGGAGGAATTTCTCCATGGAAAGGGTGGTCAGACGTTGGAAGGGGCTGCCCAGGGAGGTGGTGGAGTCCCCACCCCTGGAGGTGCCCAAGGAAGGCCTGGCCGTGGCCCTCAGTGCTCTGGGCTGGGGGACAAGGTGGGGATGGGGCACAGGGGGGACTCCATGGGCTGGGAGGGCTTTTCCAGCCTCAGGGATTCTGAGATCCTGGGGATGTGGACCGTGCCAGCCTGGGCTGCAGGGACATCCACATCATGGTAACTTGTCTCTGCCCAAAATCCTCTCTTTGCTCAGGAGTTGCTGGCAGGTGAGGAGGAGGAAGCTGAGCTGTGGGATCATCCCTGTGCCAGTTGTGTGTCCCACCCCATGGCATCAGGGGCTTCCATCCTGCTCTGTTCCCTTATTTAGGTTTAGATCAGAGATTAGGGAGAAATTCCTCCCTGTGAGGGTGGGGAGGCCCTGGCACAGGTTGCCCAGAGAAGCTGTGGCTGCCCCATCCCTGGAAGTGTCCAAGGCCAGGTTGGAGCAACCTGGCCTAGTGGGAGGTGTCCCTGCCCATGGCAGAGGGTGGAATGAGATGAGCTTTAATGTCCCTTCCAACCCAAACCATTCTGGAATTCTATGATCCCCCCAGCAAGCTGGTGGTCAGGACAAAGCCCTGCCCCCCGTTTTTCCACAGTCAGTGGGATTTTGCCACCAAAACATCGTGTTTTCCCCACTTTCCCTGGCACAGGCTGGGATCCAGCTTCCTCCACAGTAGCAGCCCTGGATAAGATTGCTCATGGCTGAGCCTTTCCCTGTGTGTGCCGGGTGCTGGGACAATCCCACCACAATCCCAGCACCTGCAAGCGGTTAGTTACAATAATAAATAAGTGATAGATTATCAAATAAAGCCTTGGCTTCGGATGAGGTCATCCCTGCACCACGTCCCGGGTCTCCCAGGGTTTCCAGGCAGCTTTCCTGCCGCTCCTGGGCTAAATACCTCTTGTATCAGTCAATAAAAAAACTTGTCGAGATTAAAGAATCAATTAGGAATTAGCCAAAGGGGCCAAAGCGTAACCCAAACATGCTGATAAAATCCAGTAGGTGATTATGGGAATGGTTCTTATTTCATTTCACTTTGGAAAGGAATAATTGCTCGTTGTAGAGCATGGAACGACCCGAGCTGGGGATTTTTCCAGCTTTACAGGGAAGGAAATTCTGGTGGTGGGCTGACAAATGTGGAGACACCCCATGGTTTAGGGCTGAATGGGCATTTTTTGGTCCTTAATTTGAGGAGCATCGTCCACTGGTTGGACTTGGTGATCTTGGAGGTCTTTTCAAGGCCAGGTTGGATGGGGCTTGGAGCCACCTGGTCTAGTGGAAGGTGTCCCTGCCCATGGCAGGGGGTGGGACTGGATGGGCTTTAAGGTCTCTTCCAACCCCAACCATTCAGGGGATTTTCCACACTTTGATGCTGACAGAATAGGGCAGAGATGCACCACAGCCCCTCTGCTCTTCCACAGGCACAGAAATACAGGAGAAAAACCAGAAGCCTGAGGTTTAGCTGTAGAACCTCTTGTAAAAGCTGACTTTGCCCAGGGATGGCAGGGAGGGGACAGGACACTCCAGAGCAAGGAGCTGGGCTTCAAGTGCAGGGGAAGGATCCCGATCCCGGCTCGGGGGCTGCGTGCCGCTAATCCCCTGTTTATTCCCAGTCTGGCCGCGCCGCCCACGCTCCAGAGGCTTTTGTTCCCTAATTAGGGCCGGGATGAGCAGATCCCCCTGAGGCAGCTCGGTGTCGGCACGGCCGCATCCTCCCCCAGGGATCACATCCATCCTCCCCCAGGGATCGCATCCATCCTCCCCCAGGGATCACATCCATCCTCCCCCAGGGATCACATCCGTCCTCCTCCAGGGATCACATCCATCCTCCTCCAGGGATCACATCCATCCTCCCGGAGCGGCCCCGGGCTCGGCCTTTGCGGGATTATTGCAGCCAAGGAGCACGATCTAAACATGGATAAGGGATTTATGCCTTTAAGAAACATCGGAGGGATGGGAGTTTTATCCAAGGGATGAGCTCTGGCAGCCGGTGCAAGGCAGGAGCAGGGTGGCTCTGGCACGGGGGGGGGGGGTGTAACCCCGGGTGCTGCCCCAGGGCTGGTGCATTTAATTGACTCGTTAATCCCTGTCTCGTGGGCCAAATTCCAGGGCCAGCTGCTGCCCTGGAGTGGGGTCTAAGCGGGAAGGTGGGATCTCAGTGCTCCAGGCTGTAGATCCAGTTTAGTTCCCCTTAAAGTATGGAAAGAGGCAAATCCCTGGTGTATAAATTAACTATGATTATTAGGAGAAATGTATCATTAGTAAATAGTTATTAATAATTAATAATAACGGAAATTCTGAGGTACTAAGGCAGTTGAATGGACTTTGGAAACAAAAGACCAGTCCCCCCATGCTCGGTGGGGTTGTTCTCATCTATTTGCCCCTGGAGTTGGACACGGAGGCCAAGAACTGACACCAGGCAAGTCAGAGACGACAAGGATGAGAAGTCGGGCTTTTTCCTGTCTGCAGGAAGGCCATCACCTCCTTCGGGAATGACCCACCCTTGCCCCGAGCCCAGCGTGCCGATCCCCAAAGAGATGCCGAGGCCGGATCCAGCCGGACACGCTGGTCCCAGGGCAAGCTTGATCCATCCCAGCATCCCTCCCGCCGCTCGTTAGCTGTAATTAATGGGGGTTTCCGTGCCAGCTGCGGGGGGTGCCCGCAGTGTGCAGCTGTGGCTCGCCGAGCTGCCCATCTGCGCCCGCGCAGCTGCGGCGCCTGGTACCGGCACCCCCGGCCCGGGGCATTCATCACCAGGAGCCCGGGCAAGAGAGGAAGCTTGGCAGGGAAAAGAAGGAGGATGGGGAGCCACGGGAGGCAGGTCTCGAAACTCCCCTGGCGCCAGCGGGGTCGTATCCGCAGGCTCCGGGCAGGATGTGCCCCTGGGGTCCCGGGGGGGATGGAGCAGTGCCAAGGTGCCTGCGCTGAGCAGGAGGAATGAGCCGGGCTCCGGGGCCGGCTCTGGCCTGAGAGGTGGGGAGGTGACAAGGACAGGCCTTCCCAGGAGAGTGGGGAGGGGGAGTGAGCGTTTAAGTCAGCGATGGGTCATGTTGGGGGGTGAGGGAGGGGGATTTCTCGGTGCCCTCATGGAGGGAGGCCCTTACTGCCTTCCCCTGATCTGTAGACCCATGGAGGAGCTGGACTCGATGTCCCCATGGGTCCTTTCCAGCTCAGGGTGTTCTATGGTTCTATAATTCCGTGATCTGGGCTAAAGGCAAATGACAGGAGAGACCAAATTGTGGGAGTTGAGCCCTTTGGGTACTTCAGGGTGTCCAACTCCACTGACTCTGGTTACATGAAGTCCTGCCGAGGGCTCTGACCCGCTGTCCCCCTTGTCTCTCCTGCAGCAGCCGAAAGTCCCCACCATGGTCACCACAGCAGCACAGAATGGCCTTGGAGCGAGGGAATCAGGCATGAGGAACAGGGAGTGACCACCCCAGCACCCCACCCACGGGTCCCTGGGCACAGATGCCACCACCAGAACCATCAGTGGAGACAGCTTTGCTCTTGCACCATTGGACATGGTCACCTTCCCTGGAGAGAGAGGTGAGAGCCGTGGGGGACGGGGGACAACGGTGCCCACGCAGAGTCACCCGGCTCAGTCCCACCACGCGCATCCCTAGTGGTTCTCCCTGTGGGATGCCCCGTCTTTCCTGTTTACTTGTCCTGCCGGGAATAGAACAATAAATAATTTATCGCCGATCGGTTGGCGCGGCGCCGACCTGTCAGCGGAGTTGATTTTCCCTGGCCAAGTGTCAGGGCAAAAGGCCAGGAACGCCGGGCAGGGGAACAGGCACCGCCACAATTATAAGATTAACACCTTGTTTGGTGGTCACACACTGTCAAGTGGTAAAAGATTGCTCCGGTTGGGCTCTATAGAGCATCGCTCACAAATTACCTTATTAAGCAGGATCTTGCTCCTGGTGGCTCCTGCACCTGTGTCCTCAGATATTCCCATTCATGGTGGAGAGGAGGCCAACACTCGGCCGGGGCTGCGCAGCTGCGGGAGCATTATTCCCTCTTACCATATTTGCATATCAATGAGCCCCTGATTAATATTTAAAGAGCCAGCTGTCCGAGCCACCTAGGAAAGAAAAAAAGCTCTGTGAGGTTTTTTATTTATTTAATTTTTTTCTTTTAGGGATAACACTCGCTGCCCTTTATGGAGCGCGCTTCATTTTTAACCCCCCTAATCTTTTATTTGAAATTAAGGAGAAAAAAAAGTCAGGGAGAAAAATATGAAGAACCATTAAGGAGTGATCAGTGAAGGAGTTGTGCTGCTCTCAATGCTCCTCAGTCCTTTTGTGCCGCCGGCGCAGCTGCACCGAGCAGGTTTTTGGGGGCAGGATCCCGACGGGCGCCCATGGGAACTGGATCTGGGAGCGCGAGGCCTGGGAAGCGGGATGGATTTCCACACTCCCGGCTTCCCCCGGCTCCCGTCACAGAACCGTGGCCGGTGCTGATGTCCCCATGGTCCTGGGGGTGGAACAAGTGGTGTTGTCCGTGGTGAGGGATGCTGGTGGTGACCCAGAAGGAGCAAGACACAGAGTCTTGGCTCCAGGGGGCTGATCAATGGAAATGCCATCAAAAAACTGGGAACTGCTATTTTCCGCACCTCCCCGGTGCTGTTAATCGCCCAGAGGTTTTGTTTCCAGCCCTAAAAGCTGTCATTTTTAGAGGACCATTCTCTTTCCCTTTTTTCTCCTGGAGCATTTGTCAATAATCCTCCGACAGCGGCAGCTTTGTTATCCCAACTAATTGGAGTCAAGTAGGGCTGCGAGAAAAGATCGCTCCCGACAGAGCCCTGGGAAAAACCCTGCAAAAGGATTTTAATTTTCAATAAAATATGCAGATAAGTAGAAATTACCAGTGGGGAAGGGGGGCTCTGTGGATAATGGGGCTGCTCAGACGACGGCGGCTCGAGGGGCTTAATGAGCGCTCGAGCTGCGGCGATGCCGCCGGCTCTGCGGGATGGGGGACTCGGATCTGCCCCCCACACCTGCACTTCTCAGGGTCTGATAGGTACTTCTGGGGGGGGTGGAGGTGAGGGAGCTGTTTGTCTGTCTGGTCGTGCTGAGCTGCAGCTGGTGGGGAAATATTTCAGGTCGTGTTTTGTTGTATTTATACACGAACGTAGGAAATCCGGGCATCCCTCCGCAGTGGGGTTGGGATTGCTGGGGGATGCTGCGGCTCTCAGGAGGCCAAGGATGGACTTGGACCTTCTCAGCCCGTGGCACTGTCCCAGCCTGAGCCTGGTGGATGTGGATTTTGGCCGGGATGCTCCAGGCAGGGATGTGTTTGTGCCGTCTGCCCATGGCTGTGCTTTGCCTGGCTGGTGGAAGATGGTCCCTTCTGCTGGTGGGGAACCACCCACCCAGCTGGGAGCAGAAATTAAAGTCCCTCCAGCTTCACTGGGTGCTGGATTTTCTGGATGTGGCTGGGATTGCCCAAAAAGCCTCTCCAGGTCCTGCTGCTGGATGCACTGGGAGCAGGGTCAGGTGCACCAAGGGATGATCTTTGCAAAGGGGTTTTCCAAAAAGGATGGGATAAAATATTTCCCAGCGAGGGGCTGTCCAGCCCCTCCTGCAGCGGAGGGCATTCCCACAGGAATTTGCTCAGGGCCAGGGGTGGGAAGAACTGCTCCCACCCACAACCCTGGCTGGTCTCCCTACAAGAAGTCGAGGGCTGGAGGGATCCATGGGCTGGCAGGGGATGGGATGCCAGCACAGGGCAGACATTGCACGTGCTGCCTGCAGGGTCTTGGTGCTGTCTCCACGCAGAGCAGGTCGGTCCCACCTTTCCCAGCAACTCAGAGCACTTGCAGGAGGATTTTTTGGGATGTCTTTGCTGACTGTGCCCCATCCCACTGCCTCGTGCCATCCCCTGGGAGCAGAGGGGCGGGAGCTGTCCGAGGCCACCGAGGAGGTGCAGGCAGTTTCCCGAGGGCAGGATGGAGCTGGATGACCCCAGAGCAGCCCCCCCTGAGCCCCCAGTCCCTTGGGGAGGGACAGCTGAGCCATCACCTGTCGGAGCTCAGACGCTGCAGCTGCGCCTGCTTTGAACCCGCCGGATTAGGCAGCGGAGAGGGCCATGAGAGCACTTGTGCTCCACGTGCCAGGGCCTTCCTCCTCCTCCTCCTCTTCCTCCTGGTGCTCCACCAGCCCCTCAGCCTTCCTGACCCAACTGCTCTGGGCTGCACAGGTCACAGCAGGGATGGAGGTGGGAACGACCTCTGGGTGAGGGTCAAAGCACCTTCGGCCCTTGGGACACCAGATGAAGGTCTGCTGAGCTTTATATCCTTTTTATCCGAAACAGGTAAATCCATAGGAAAATAAACGGGTAAAATCATAGGAAAATAAATAGGTGAAATCATAGGAAATCCCAGGGGGGGAAGAGAATCCAACATTTTTAACTTTGGAAGAGCCAGAATCTGCATGTGGACACAGCCCAGAGCCCAACTGCAGGGTTTTTTCACACTTTTCCCACCATGTTCCCTGATTCCCACTGTAGCCCTCCCAGGAGAGGCGCTGGGATGGTGGGACATCGTTAGCAGGTGGGTGACACCCCCAGCTTGGCAGATGTCCCTTCTGTGGGGTGACCAGCGTGAGCTCCTCGTACCTCTGTTACCTCCTGTCTTCTGGAGCTTTTGCATCTCCAGTTGGGGTGTGATGGGTCTCCCAGTTTGGGAAGGGTGTTCCCAGTTTGGGTAGACACTGTTCTGTGCTGTCCCTTTGGTGGTGACAGCAGAGTGGGGCTCGTGCTGGGTGGCTTTGACATATGTGGGTGCCTCCATCTGCCATCACAACACATGTTGAGATGATATTCCTGGCTCAGTGGATGTTCCCAGCTTAGTGGGTGATGGAATGATGTTCCCAGCTCAGTGGATGATGGACTGGGACATTGTAGGGTCATTCTCTGCTCTGTGGTTTAGTGGGCTGGTGGTATTTGGCCAAAAGTTGGACTTGATGATCTTGAAGGGTTTTTTCCATGGTTCTGTGTTTCCATGGTTGAGTGACCAGATCCTCCAAGCACCACCCCCATCCCTCCTTACACACATGTGACACCTTTCTCCTCTCACCTCTGTTTTCTCTGGTTTCCTCAATCCCAAATCCAAACCCACAGAGACAGACAGGCCCATCCCATGGTTTTCCAGTGGCAGCCAAACTGTCCCCGTGCCCTCACTGAGCTCATCACCACAGCAGGACCAGGACCAAGGCTTGGCCTCAGTCCCCAGGGAGTGCAGGATTTGCCCTGTGCTTTCAAAAGCAGAGAGGGAGAGGTTTGGGGTTATTTTTATATAAACAAAGCTTTCTCCCTGTGCTTTTTAACTCTCCCAGTTCCCCAGTCTGCTCCCCACGCTCCTTTTCGGGCTGTTTTAAGAGCCAGGGTGTAACATTAAGGTGATTTACAGCATCCCAGGAGTGGAAGGGCAGAGACTTGGGCATTTTTTTTCCCTTTTCCTCAGGTGAAAGAAAACCTCAATGTTACCTCAGGAGCCGTTGCAGCGACCGCTCCGTCAGCCCGTGATTTACAGGCTCAAATTTACGAGTTCAAAATTATTCTTGCACTCACAGATCTCTTTTCTCCCTTGGCCGTTTTAGTGCTTGTGAAAGGTGAGGGGTTTGACAGCTCCTGGAAACAAAAGCTTTTAATATCCCCCGGAGTGGGGCTCTCCCAGGCAAAGGAGAGAGATGCCAGCAGGGTCTTCCCTCCCTGCTGCAGATTTTACTCACTCCAGGCTGGTCTTAACCAAACAGAGCAGAAAGTTTTGCTCGAGTTAAGCCAGGACTAATTAGCAAAGCCCGTTTTCTTGGTGCCTGTGGAGTCCCCTGGGATTATCTCTGGTGGCTGGAGCAGTGCTGGGCTGGAGGCTGAGGCTGATGCTGAGGTTGCCCATCACTCCCGTGATGTTTTCAGACCCTTCCCAAATTTTTTTGGACACCTCCAGGCTTTCTGTTGGAACACAAAGCTGTAGGTCACCCTCTGGGTTTATCTTTAATCCCTTTGGTGAGGCCCCTCCCCTCCTCCAGCCCCCGGTGACACCAACATTTTGGGTCTAAACTACACTGGCAGCGGCCTTTAAAATATAACATGCATGAAATACCAGGAGTAAAACAGCTCCTCTTTAAAGCACATGTCATGCAGTGGCTTAGGGAGCTGGGGGATTAAACCTTCATGGAGCTTGGGAAGCGATGCCAGAGCCCCTGCTGCACTTCATTAAAGCACATTTTTGACACAGTTTGCTTTATTCAATAACAATTTAGTTGACCAAGAACCCAATGGGAAGGGACAGGCAACTGTGTAGAATTTTGTTGTGGTTTCATTTTCAGCATTTTTTCGTGTCACTCTGCCAGCTGTGCCCTGCCAGGGATGGCTGAGCCCTGCAGGATTCATGTGTGTATCCCAAAAAATAGCTGAGATGGAGTCGGGGTCAGGATGGTGCTCCCACAGGGACGTTGAGGGTCACCTCTGTGCCCACGTCCCCCTCAGCTTCTCTGCTCAACCCACAGCCCCACTGGCCTCCAGTTGCACCAGGAGAAGTTTAG